TGCAAAGTAGATTTGGTTTGCAAACTTTTGCTACGCTGTTGAAACAATTTGGGATCAAGGATGAGAGAAACTGTTTTTGCGTAAGTTGAATCAATTTTAAGTTTTCCTGTGATTTGATACCTTTGCTGTTTTGTTTTGGCTAATGCCTCCAGATTTTTTCTCTCTTTCTTTTTTTTTTGCTTGGACTGATAAACTATTTCCCAGGAATGGAGGACTTTTGCTTTCCACAATGGACACTACCTGGAGAGACTGGTTTTCTTTCCAATGAGAACCTTGAGAAAAATTTTCATCTGAGACTGTACCCCAGCATCCACACATTTAATCTTCAACACCATGGAAATGGTGACAAAAAGTGAAGCTAATTCCATACAGGCTTTGTGGATGCCACCCCACCTCCATCAAGACACCAGGAACTACAAATCCCAGGATCCCCAAAGGGAAGTGGCGAGGACCTAAGGGCGGAATTAAGCAGCCATTTCTCTGTTTGTAAATAAAAACCAGCCATGTTAGTAGGGTTGGGTACACTGGCTCATGCTCTTGGCCAGGCAGGTTTGGTCTTGGCAGGTCATTTGGGATTCCAGGTCAGCAGAATGGGTAGGACACATTTAAGAATTTCTCTCCCTCTTTTCTCCCTGAGTTGTACATTTCTTCATTACCCTTTCCTTGTAAATAAACCTTTTGTTAACCTTTAAAAAAAAAAAAATTAAGGGGCACAAAATAAAAAAGACTGGTTCCCTTTCCCCACTGTACTACGAACCCCAAAACACCCTGATTTCTCTATTTGTTCATTTCCATGGTTTAAATAATCCACCACAGTCTGTTTCAGACTCCAAGAGGACATTCATTGCAGGCAGAGTTGGCAATGGTAGCACACCATTAAAGTACTTCCATCATAAAAATGACAGAATATTTCTTTAAAAGGAAGAGATGAATGGTATTTGTTTCATACTCACTTGAAATAGACTATTTTCCAGTCTCCTGGTGGCTTTTGAACCATTACAATGAAGACACTTGTCTTAAGCCCATCTACAGTAGAAATCTTTCCTTAAAAAGTTACTTCAGGGCCCCCCCTGGTGCCCGCAGCCTCTGCAGCACCGGTTCGATCCCCGGCCACCAGCAAGAGTCCCACATGGTGCACAGACCTCTCCTGCCGTGCCTGCTGCTCCCCTCAGCAGTGTATTTGGTCAGTCTGCCTGTTCTGTTCCCCACTCTGGCTCTGGTGAATTCTCTCACCCTCCCACACTTCTGACTGTACCCAGTGCTTGTATAAATAAATAAATAAATCTTAAAAAAAAAGTTACTTCAACTCTTTCCCATCATTTACTCTAATCACAGGTACCCCTCTGGTACTTACTTCCATGTTTCTTTTCAACTACCCCTTGTTTATTTTCCATTTTGAACTTGGCAGAAAAATTCCACCAGCATGTTCTACAATTATTTTGTATTTTCTTTTGACTCAGCAAGAAGTTTAAAAATGGAGAACAGGAAACAAAAATCAGTTTGGATAACTATAGAATGTTTCTAACTAAAAGCACAGTATGTCTTAGCAACTCTTCTATTGTAATCAAACTATCCTAAAATTAAAAGCTGATTTAAAAACTTTTATTGTAAATTGCTTCTCACTTGTTCAATGCTTGTGTTTTAAATAGCATTTTATTACTCTTGATATTGTGGCCTTCCAAACTCTCAGACCTTCTACCACCTCATTAAAAATTATAGCAACTCATGTGAAATGTGCATGTTACAAACCAATGCTGCTCAACAATTTTTTTAAATTGTAGCAATTTCCAAAATGCTAAAGAGATGAACAATTATAATTCTCCTATTATAACTGTGTACTTTATTTTTATTTATTTTTTTTTTAAAACTTTTTTTTATAGGTTTTATTTTTTATAGAGGCATGTTTTATTTATTTGTTTGTTTGTTTTGTTTATACAAGCACTGGGTACAGTCAGAAGCGCGGGAGGGTGAGAGAATTCACCAGAGCCAGAGCGGGGAGCAGAGCAGGCAGAAGGACTGAAGTACACTGCTGAGGGGAGCAGCGGGTGGCAGGAGAGGTCTGCGCGCCATGTGGGACCCTCCTTCGGTGGCCGGGGAGCAGCTGGGGATCGAACCGGCACCACAGAGGCTGCGGGCAGCTTCGCAACCCAGCGCTCAACCGCTGCGCCACCGGGAAGGCCCTAACTGTGTACTTTAAAGCTGATAAATTAGAAAAGAGTTGACAATGAAATAACTTGCAGAAAACCCAGGTGACAAAAAGAAAGAAAGAAACAGTGTGGCTTTAGATGGCAAATGATCCTACAAAGTAAGAGGTACAAAATAAGAGGTACAAAGTTAGAGGCTAACTGCTTCCTAAATCTTCCTGTATTCAAAATTTTAAAACAGAAATTCTAGGGAGTTCAAAGATTTGGATGTTTCTATAACTGCTAAAGGTGAAAGTAATATACACTGAAGGTAAAAAAAAAATAATCCTAAACTACCAATAGCTTTATGTTCCTCAACCTTTTATGGAAGTCAAGTAAAATCATGAAATCAGTTACCCTTGTAAGACATTAGGCCCATATTCTTATCAGCTAAAATGGTACTTTTCAAAGAACATTCCACTTTAGTATGGATTAGAAAGGACAAAGGTAGATGACCCAGGGAGTTGGAAAAGAGTTCTAGCAGAGGATATAGGAAGTCAATCTCTGCTTATATCACAATTTGTTTATGTGAGTAGGATTAGCTGTTTATTAAAATCACCTTACAGGCCTCCCTGGTGGCACAAGGGGTTAAGCACCGCACTATGAAGCAATCCGCAGCCCCTGCAGCACGAGTTCTATCCCCGGCCAGCCAGGGAACAACCCACATGGTGAGGCAGACCTCTCCTGTCTCGCCTGCTACTCCCCTCAGCAGTGTATTTCAGTCCATCTGCCTGTTCTGTTTCCCACACTGTCTCTGGTGAATCCTCTCACTCCCTTGCATCTCTGACCTGTACCCCAGCTCTGGTATGCATAAATAAATAAATCTTTTTAAAAAAATCATCTTGCATTATTTTATAAGCAAACCCTCCTGTTAGCCTAATGGTGGACAAATGATATTTCAAAATAATTGTGATAATCCTAAGTTATCACAATTAGGATTGTTAAAAAGGTCAATGTGTTAACAGTACCTATTCCTTAGACAACTGCTTCCTTTAAATCAACTATTCAGGGCCTCCCCGTTGGCACAGGGGGTTGAGCACAGCGCTATAAAGCTGTCCGCAGCCTCTGCAGTGCTGGTTCGATTCCCGGCCGGCCAGGGAGATGCCCACATGGCGCGGCAGACCTCTCCTGTCCCGCCCGTTGCTCCCCTCAGCAGTGTATTTTGGTCCTTCTGCCTATTCTGCTCCCTGCTCTGCCTCTGGTGAATTCTCTCACCTTCCCGCACCTCTGGCCTGTACCCCAGGGCTTGTATAAGTAAATCTTTAAAAAAATATGTAGCATCCTCATGAATTTACCATCAGCACCCCAGGTTCTTTAAAAAATAAATAAATAGGGCCTCCCCTGGTGGCACATGCAGTTGAGCACAGCACTGTGAAGCTGTCCGCAGCCTCTGCAGCACCAGTTTGATCCTGGCTGGCCGGTAAAGGTCCCACATGGTGCAGCAGACCTCTCCTGTCTCACCCGCTGCTCTCCTCAGCAGTGTATTTCGCCAGTCTGCCTGTTCTGTTCCCTGTTCTGTCTCTGGTGAATCCTCTCACCCTCCCACACATCTGGCCTGTACCCCGGTTCTTGTATAAATAAATAAATCTTCAAAATAAAAAGTTGCAGAAAAACTTTAAAATAAATAAATAAATAAATCGACCATTCCACAAACATTTGCTCAGGACACATGATAGCTTGGTCTCAGAGACTAACATGAAGATAACATGCATATAATAACTACTACTAATTAAACCAGCCACATACAAAATGATGGTCGAAATATCTGCAAAATGCTTCACTGTTTAAATTGTTTCCACATGTGTTCCTTAATAAACCCTGTGAAGTACATAAGGTCCTTGGTATTAGTATCATTTTATACAAAACTCATAAGGAGTAGTGCTAGGGTTTGATGTTAGGATTTGAACTTGTGACACTACTACACTATACCTCTTTAATGCTGATAACAAAGGTAGAAGCATTTGGACTAAGTCTTGACGAATGGGCAAAATTTTGATAGGTGAAGTGACCATATCTTTCTTTTTTAAAAAAAGATTTACTTATTTATGCACATAAGAACTGGGGTCTAAGCCAGAGGTACAGGGGTTAGGAGGATTCACCAGAGACAGAGTAGGGAGCAGAAAAGGCAGATCTATTGAAATACACTGCTGAGGAGAACAGCAGGCAAGACAGAGGAGGTCTGCTGCTCCATGTGGGTTCACTCCCTGGCCTGGAATCAAACTCATGCTGCAGTGGTTGGTGATAGCTTGATAGCGCTGAGACTTTAACCCCTGCACCACCAGGGAGACCCAAAGTGATCATATCCTTCTAAGGAAGAAACATACAAGAAGTCTAGAAGTAGGGATATATGAGTATTGAGATGGTTCACAAAGGTAGGCAGGGGAACAGAGCTGTAAAAAATGGTTTTAAAATGTGGAGAGGGCTTAGAATGGCTGACTTCGCATCTGTACATGACCCTACAAGAAATGAGAAATCAGACAGTTTGGGAGAGAGAAGGAAGAACAGAGCATATATGCAGTTCTTACCATGTGTTTGTTACTTCACAAAAGAATTGTCTCATATTAAGGAATGTTAAAGTTATGGAGTAGTATTTAGGGTGACTAGACTTCCATAAGTCCTCTGCATGACTAGAAAGATGGGGCCAACAGAAGGAAAAATTACAGAAGTGTACTCTATAGTTTCAGCCTGAGAGAACAGAATGCAAAGCAATTTCTGTTTTAAGTAATAGTTGTTACAGGTCCTCTACACTGTACCACCCCCAAAATTAAAACAATTCCCTAAATTACCTTAAATTTTCCTATTTTATCTAAAACTTACCGAATCTTCTGGAGGTCTCTGGATTTTTCCCCAATCCACAGAAGGTCCCTTTTCTTGCAAAAATCTATGAAATAGCTTCCGAAATCCATCAAGGTCTTTTTTAGTGTGCTATGAAAACAGAAGTCATTGTTACAACTAGCAGAATGCCTATTATTTAATAAAAATAAATGCATTATCCATTTAAAATATATGTAAATGAAATTCTTATACTATTGGAACTTGGAGTACAACAGAGAGTTTTTTACAACTCAATGTAAAGAGAAAGAAAAGGTAACAGGAACCACATTTAAAAAGAGTAGAAGCAAATAATCCTCCCCTTGTCTTCCAGTATCATATAATCGGAACATCACTTGGTCTGTGAGAATTCCACTTCATTCTTTTAGTCACCAATATTTCTCTACCTCTTTTAAGTGTAAATTAATATTCACCAAAAGAACATAAAGAACAAAATGCAGCTACCCTCAAAATATTAAATATAATTTGAAAATAAAAAGGATAAGCTATTGGTTTACCGGGATAAACTTAAAATCACCTGCCTATTTTGGAAAATCTATTACAGCTGTCAAAGTATCATGGTTCTATTAGGATGGACTCTTTGAAAAAGATATCCAGGATAGATGGTTGATAAACTAACAATTCTAACTTAGAACAATAGAACCCATTTCTCCACCCAGTGATATCAAAAGAGAAAAAATAAAGTATAACTTTCTTCTGCTTCTTCTAGACTTTGGAAACTTTCTAGGGAAAAAAAGGGTTTCATAATGAGAAAATGTTGAAAATCTTTAACCATTAAGCAATCCTAATATTTTATGTTATTATTACTCTTGTGCTTATTTCAGGCTGGTTGCTCAGTAGTAGCAACAGCAAATTAGCACGTAAATGGAGGAAAGCAAAGCACATTGTAGAGTTCTTACCTCAAACTCATGTGATGGTGCTGTGGTGAGTATTTTTTCTAGTTCCTTCTTCACAGAGAATTCTAACTCTTGTCGGATGACTTCTTGGAACTGAGAAGCGCCATCTTGAGACATTGCTTTGCTGAGATCTTAAAACAAAAATATAAAACCACCAACTGAGAAATCATACAGACACACAAACAGCTAGCTGGTAAGCCACAAATGATTTCTTTCTATTGTTCAAGCAAATGAAATGGGCCCAATCCTAAGTTCCCATTTTAGCAGTCAACTAAACAGGATGATTATAATCCTATGAGGTCAAATTTAAAAGTCTGGCCCATCTATATGTTTTAATCATGTATCTGAAACATTCACACTTTGGGGACAGGTGGAAGTAAAATAAACAATCTTCACTTGAGCATATACTTCCCTGTCTTCTAGTGTTTCCCTCTTAGCCATCAAAACTGGAGAAAAATGAAAATTGGAATACCACTTTACAGAACATGCCCTTATGGAACTCCTTTCCCATGAGAGGACTGAAGGGGTTTGGCAATTGAAGCAGAAGATTCTTCAGGACAGTTTCATACTCCTTACTAAAGATGAATCCCTTGAGAGATAGTGGAATTCCAAGGTGCCCTACTTTCCTGGCATCAACATTTTCACTTTAAAAGGAGAGGGGCACAGGGTTGGATCTCCACTTCTAGTTCCCGACTAAGCCAATCTTGTCTGTGTGTGACAAGACTGTCAGGACGTCTGGTGTAGCTGTGCACCTCTGTGTCAGATGGATCTCACTAAAGGTGACAGAAATACTTATAGAAGAAAACAAACAGAAACTAGAAAAATACGGAAAAAGAAAACAGCCTATGTCCTTGAGGAAAAAATGCCAACATAAGATGTTTTACACACTTTACTATGTAGACAGTAGTTATCCTACTGACAGTTTCATATCCTACTTATGAAACAAGGAACAGATTTTCCCCCTTTCTCAATATCTAACTTAATGTATTTTATAAATATATTTTTATAAATATAGAAAAATATCTTTTGAAGATTATTTTCAAACATTTCATTTAATAATTATTTGTTCAAAACATTCATGAGCAGAATCGTATTTCAACGAGGCTAAAAACTCCCCAAAATTCCTTCATTTGATATCTGGGCAGCAGGAAACATTTAAACAGACATTATTAAAGCCAACATAATATTTTTAAATACTTTTGAGAGGAGAAATTAGTAAATTATATAACTCCTGAGGCAATTAATGTACACAGCCTCTCTCAAATATCTAAAAAGTTCTTAATGGGCCTCCCCGGTGGTGCAGCTGTTGAGCGCTGGGCTGCGAAGCTGCCCGCAGCCTCTTGCAGCACCGGTTCCATCCCAGGCCGCCAGCGAGGGTCCCACATGGCACGCAGACCTCTCCTGCCGCCCGCTGCTCCCCTCAGCAGTGTACTTCGTCGCTCTGCCTGCTCTGCTCCCCGCTCTGGCTCTGGTGAATTCTCTCACCCTCCCGCACTTCTGACTGTACCCAGTGCCTGCATAAATAAATAAATAAATCTTTAAAAAAATAATAAAATAAATAAAAAGTTCTTAAAATAAGTGTTAACAAATGAGATATTTAACAAAGCTCTTTAAAAAAAATCTTTTTTACACACTAAAATCCAAGAGAAAAAGTCCCAGGAAACTAAAATCCTAAAACAGTCATTTTCTAACTGTGCCCTCTTTATAGGCATAAACCACAACACAACTAAATTTAAGGATTCCAGTAAAACTACCAAACTGACACAAACTGTGGTTCATAAATAACGTCTTTGTAAGTTAAGTAACACGTGTGTGTATGTGTTCCATAAACAATTTAAAGATGCTGCCACTACAGGTAGCAATTTGATTATAATCTGTTAGAACCTAAACAGTGAGCATATTTGCATAACTATGATAAGATAGTCAGGATCTCATACAGAACATTTTTAACTAGAGTTAATGTGACATCCACATACAGTAATCCACTGGCAGATTTAATTGTCATTTAAAATTTGTCACAGGTTATAAGTCGCCCACCCTGCATTCCGATGAACACCTAAATTCCTCTTCCCCAATCTTCAACTCCCATATTAATGTCTATAATAATTTTGAAGAAAAATCAGCTAAGTATAAAAGCTCTAAATTAAAGCACACATGATTTGGTTGATTCTCTGTGTTAGAGAATGATAAAAATAGATTAAAAAATTAACTATATGATTTTTTTAAATACTTTTTTTTTTTTTTTTGGTTAGACTCAAAGACATTTACAGACTTGGTATCTGTTGTTGAAGCTAGATCCTAAAGGGCAGCATTCAAGTCACATTCCAAAAAAATAGTCATGGAAACATTTCACTTACTTATATTCTGGGTAAATGCCAAAATGAGATAAAAGTAAAGGTAGCCGCAAAGTTTAAAAATAACTTTAGTAGCTGTTTGAGATTTATATAAATGGAAGATCAAAGAGAAAGAAAAAATTTAGAGACTCCTGCAGAACAACAGCCTATCAATGTACATGATTTTAGGTTGCAACACACAGAACCACTGTCAGGGCCCACCCTATCAAGGAAAACTAGGAAAGGTTGGTGGAAAGACTCACATTTATTACCACATGTGATCTTTGTCAGCTGCAACAGATCCAAATTTCCCATACAGATTTGAAAAAAACAGACACAGATTCAAACTCAAGTTGTGACAAATATCCCTAACCTTTATTCCTTCCATGTTTGATAAAGCACCAAACGCAAACAAAAAGCAATTTTGTCTTCCTTATACCCCCTTTACAAATATTAACAGCTTACACAACAAAAGAACATTACAACTAGCCTATTACCTCTTCCATTTCATTCCACTTTTCCCTTGCCCTTCCCTAGGCAAAAGTGTTACTATGGTTTTATAGTTGTAAGCGTATAAGAAAAGTGTTTAAGGAAAAAGAAAATACTCAAGAAGAACAAGGATGTATGCCTAATCAAGAAGAGCTTTAAAAAAAAAAAAAGATTTATTTATTTATAATTACAAGAACTGGGGTACAGGTCAGAGGTGTAGGAGGTGAGAGGATTCACCAGAGACAGAGTGGGGAGCAGAACAGGCAGACTGACGAAATACACTGCTGAGGGGAGCAGCGGGCAAGACAGGAGAGGTCTGCTGCACCATGTGGGTAGCTCCCTGGCCGGGGATCAAACTCACTCTGCAGAGGCTGGGGATAGCTTCACAGCGCTATGAAGAAGAGCTTATTTTACCCCTACCTGTGTACCAGGCACAAACCAGGAAGCAGCCATTTCCTTTGGCAGTAACCTCTTATCTATCCATGTGGATTTTTTCTAAAGAAAGTTCTGACATTGCTGGTATGAAAAGAAGTCAGATCTTAGAAGCTTTCTTGGACTTTACATTCTCAGGTTACACTCTGGCAATGACAACTGTGTTTCTAAAGAAAGGTCAATTAAAGAATCCCTGAATGATGCAAGATTTCTAACATCCTAAAATGTCTTGTCCTCACTTCCTTGCAATAAAGAATTGATCCTTTTTTACTTCAGATAGAGAATGGTTTAGGAACCAAATGTTTCATTACCTCAGTCATAAAACATTTTTAGAGGTGAGAGGGAGTTTTTAATCTACCTTCATCATTTTACAGATGAGGAAACTGAAGTTGAAAGAGTTAAATAATTTATGCAGGGTCACAAAGTAGGCAATGCTGGAGCCCAGAAGCAAAGCCAATTTATTCTGAGCTACATTCTACCACAATGAGGTGCTCATTTTCCCTCCTAATCTGGGTCTCTTTAATCCTTGGCACAAAGTCCTTAAATAACACCCTCCTCCAAAAGCATAAGAATGTCTTTTTATGCCCAACAGAACAGAAGGATACTCCTTATGGGATAAAACCCAGCTTATTAGAATTATCTTGGATGGGCCTCCCCTGGTGGCACAGCGGTTGAACGCTGGGCTGCGAGGCTGCCCGCAGCCTCTGCAGCGCTGGTTCATTCCCTGGCCACCGGCAAGGGTCCCACAATAAATAAATAAATAAATAAATAAATAAATAAATAAATAAATAAATAAAAAGAATTATCTTGGATGACAATCACAATTTAGCAAATTTGGGATAGAATAGGCAATAACTTTTTTTTTAGAAGCCTCCCCTATACCACCTCAATTTCCTAATTCTTCCTTGTTTACAAGAACTAAAATTTCAACATCACGAACTCTCCCTTATCCAAATGGGGGGAAAAAAGCAAAAAAAAAAAAAAAAAAAAAAGAATAAGAAGGAAAGCAATAGATTCAAGAGGTAAGTGACATTCAATCTAACTAATGTTTTCATCTTAATTCAGGTATTTTATTTCTTCCATTTCAGTAACTAGATGTACACATGATACCTTTCCCTGATATCCTGATACAGGCATAAACAATCCACATTCTAAAGAGAAAAATAAGCTTCATCGTACACAGGCCATGGAAAGGCTATAGAAAGAACATTAAAGCGCAATAAAGAGGAGATCATCTCCCAGGTCAGCTCCTATCACTCATTAGGTCTGACAGTCCCAACCTTCCTTGGAAACGCATTGAGAGGTATCCACACTCAGAACCGGAGAGCTCACTTGATCTTTAAACAGGAGAGTACTTGTGGTCCACCGAAGTATAAAACTCCAAGAATGCTGTGGCAACTGGAAATAACCATGAATAGAGATAAAGACATACACTGACAAGATTTATGACCAATTAAACAGCTTTTGGGCTTCACTGTAATCCTTTCTATTATTTGTTAATATTCACCTAGCAAAGTTCTTCTTTGGGCTACATTACTCAAAATTTTCCTATATCTTCTCCTACCTCCAAAGCCAGGTCTGAGTTTCCAAAACAGGCTTTTCCTTCCTTCTCTTACTCCTTGGGTTTCCTAAAATTCTAACCCTAGACTATTTCTCCCCTCAGTTATTCCTTTACCAATCTCCTCACTGATAATATCAAATATGTGCCTCCTTTGCTGATCTCTCTTTCAGAGCTCCAGGCTCACATTCCCTACTAAATTTATCCCCCTACCTTCTATGCTCTCCACAGCAGTAACACTGTCCTAGTCCTCCAAGGTGACCTAGAAATCCTAATCACAATTGGGCTCTTCCCTCCTTTTCCCTTATATTACATCCAA